TTCTTCCTTCGCCTCTGAAACACATCAACAACGCCCCCCCCCCCCCCCCCAAGTTTGTTAATAAGCCACTCTCTCGTGCGCACATTCATGTCTCCGATTTGTTGACCTGACACAACGACGATCTGCTACATGGCATGATGTGTACTACCCCTTTTAAGTCCTGGGATGATGTGTACTACCCCTGTCAAGTCCAGTTAATAAGCCACTCCCCTGCAAATGGTTACCAACTTACCATACACAACGACGTTCTGCTACATGGGATGACCACAGTTAAGTCCAATTAAATTAAGGGGAGCAGTGAACTCTCTCTCTGTGCGCACGTGCATGTCTGCGATGTGCCCATTGCTCCGTGAGCTGTGAGTTTGTCTGCAGACGCTGCACTAATGGTGGTTTTTTTGTTTTTTTTTTTAACTCCCCTGCGACGGAGAAGAATGTGCTCTTAAACCGCCAGGACACGGCCCCAGCCTTGCTGAAAAAAAGAACTCGTCGCCTGCGAAAATTTCGGAGGCTCGGCCTACTGCACACCCATGGCTGGCGGCAGAAGCCAAAAAAAAAAAAAGAAAGTACGCCGCTGACGGTTTGGATAAGCTTGGTGTGCAGCAAGGCACCTGCAGGCCCCTCTGTACTGGGGTACACCACTATCGGCCCACGGGTGTCAGCATGAAACCCACACGACTTCGGAGGCTGCCGATTTTTTTTTTTTCAACGGCGGGACTGGCCGCACGGCGCCTCCGAGTTTTGCTTGTGGGCACAAAAACTTTCTGCAGGGCTGGGGCCGTGTACTAGCGGCTTAAACCACCACGACCTTTCACGCTGTTGGGAAAAGTGGGGGATATAACCTATTCTGCATTCTTCAGGTGCTCGCCCCAACAGCGGCCGCTGCTAACAAACTTCATCGGCGGCCCGTGTGTTGCATGTCCAGCCTCTGAAACTCTCTCGGGGCCTCGCCCGTCGCCGATGTATGGGAAAGGTAGTGGTGTTTTTCTTTTCTTTTTAAACAACTAAAAAGCAAGAGATGAATATGTTCTCAGCAATCTCCACGCGTCTGTGTTCATGCCCTTGTCCGTGTCTCCATGCACGTCTGTGGCATACCAATCCGGACCTCCGCACCGTGATCCGAACCGTCCAGAGTTCGGGACCTGTGCCTCCGTACGCTCGTGCTTTTTCCACTTTGACAGAGGTTCGCATAATACGCCCTGTGCGCTCACCTTGCACACATGCAGCTTCCTATGGGCGTGCTTGCATGTATGCTATCATCGCTATGCTTCTCAGAAGGGGTTGCAAGATTGCGGCATTGACCGAGTTTTTTTTTCTCCCCCCCCATAATTTATCTATTTTAGGGAGGAGCATCAGTCCAGTTACTTTTGTTTCCACCAGCGCTCGGTGTGTGATGTATGCATCCACCGAAAGACGTATGACAACTGCAAAAGGAAACCACACCATGCATTCAGGAAACTGACGAAGAAGAAAGCAAGCCGGCGTGGGAGTTGGGGTTCTTTTTCGTTGTCTCTTTTCACGAGTCTCTGGGAGGTCGCGTTTTGAATTCTGCTGCCCTATTTTTCTGCCGTGCAGAGCTTCCTCATGAAGACACAGCTGACGGCCATAGCTGGGGCCTAGCAGCTTGATTAGGGGAAGCTCTGGGAATCAGACTGCAGTGGGCTTGCGGAGAGGGGGGTCGGATTTAGGAGGGTGTGTGGCGATTGGCAGGCTTGACAGGTTGGGTGCTTGCAAGCACCATAGCTAGAGATCGAGGAACAGGGAAGGGAATAAAGACTCCCGGATACTCCAATGGAACTTTGTAAATAATTGGGCCGTGGGTGTTGATAACATGGTTCGATTCTTGGAAAACAGTGCGGTTGATTGAACTGGAGAGAACAAGATGAATTAGAATTGAATTCAAGTCAATTCTATTTTTGGTATTTGTGTGCTTCCGCTGTGCACGTTCATCATCCGGATTGGTGTGGACTGCTCTCTCCAAGTCTACTTGTCATTGCGCACGTGTATGGGAACGTGTGAATGCCATGCTGGATTATTTTCAATCAGGCACATAATACTGTTGTGGTTGGTTAGCACATTACACTGTGATAGTTGGTTACCAAGTTACCACACTGCAGTTGGTTACCGTACTGGGTTGTTGGTCACCCAAGCTAGGAGAATGTGGTAGTTGGTTACCAGGTTACCATAGTATCGTTGGTTACCACACTGTGGACATTGGTTACCAAGTTACCACAGTGGTAGTTGGTTACCAAGTTACCACACTCTGGTAGTTCGTTACCAAGTTACCAAACTCTGATAGTTCATTACCAAGTTACCACACTGTGGTTGGTTACAACTTACCGTTGGTTACCACACTGTGGTAGTTCACTGGGATTTCAGATATTCCATGTTGACGAACATGCAGCCGAGTACTCTTCAATAGTATGTGTTCCCTTTTTTCTGCAGCATAAACTTGGAATCTGTACTCCAACAAAAGCAAAGTCGAATATTGCCATTTGTCTGGCAGAACGTACTTTGTCAAGCTGTGACATTCTGGGTGTCATATATTTTTGAGAAAATTACATTCACTGCGGGTATGGGAGTTGCTTTCATTTAAAGTTTTTTTTGGGGACTACAATTTCACTACATGAACTAAGTCTTTTTTTTTTCATTCTTTTTTAAGAATTTTCATGGTAACTGCGGACCCAGACATCGGGCACTTCCGGACAGAGTTCTGGAAGTAAGTCTGTACCGGACTGGACAGTCGGTGATCCGGACATGGCCAGTTTTTTTAATTCTCTTTTAGGAATTTTCATGGTAACCGCGAACCCAGACGTCAGGCACTTCCGGACAGAGTTCTGGAAGTAAGTCCGTACCGGACCGGACAGCCGGCGATCTGGACATGACCAGACACCCGAACATCACCGGACCCAGACTGTCAGGGGCTCCAGAAATGTCCGGACCGCAAAAAAAGATTGGAAAAAATGGAGGGGGGGAGGGGTTGAAGCGGTGTTAAATATCATTTAAAAGAGTCAAACTGCTCCAAGAATGTGAATAAAAGCAGTTCCGTGAAGTGTTTCTTCATGGAATCGCTGCATTTTTTTGTCATCCTGCAGGCAGGCAAACCCAGCAAAAGAAACAGTAATTGTTAGAGCCAGCTCTCCCTCACCCTCATGCTCTTCCTCCTCCACTCTCTCAACCCATTCTCCCATCTGTTCACAGAAATCAAATAATCATTAACACAAAGATTTGACAGCATAACGCCACCCCTCAACCGGTTCAAGACTTTCCCACAAAAATTGAAAGTGTGACACCACCCCCACATGGTCAAGGAGATGCAACCGCAAAAGATTTGAGAAGAGCAAGGCAGACAACCAAAACAATTCTGACAGCATGATGTTAGCCCTCCAGGGGGGCAGAAATTTCCAACGAAAATTTGAAATTCCGCCAGCATGACAGCACCCCCCATGGGGTCGATAAGTTGCAACAAGCAGAAATTCGAACCGGCATTTGATGCAGTTGACAGAAGTTCAAGCCAAGATTTGAGCCAAGATTCAAGCCAAGATTCAACTTTCAAGCCAAGGTTCAAGCCAAGATTCCAGCTACGAGTCAAGCGAAGAACATCCAAGCAGAAGTCCGAGCACCTTACGCATCCCCCAGGGGGACCAACGGGTAACGGAAATCAATCAATCAATCAATCCATCAATCAATCAAT